AGTACATTGGGCAACTCGTTCGCCCGACTTAACGCCATTAGATTTCTATGCATGGGGTACTCTGAAGCAAGAAGTTTATTCTTCGCCTATTCAATCAGAGCAACATTTGAGAAATCGTATCGTAGCTGCAGCGAACAGAATATCGCAAGAACAGTGCCTGGCTGCTACAAGAGCCGTGTTTGACAGATGCAATGCTTGTATTGCTGCAAGAGGTGCACATTTCGAACAAAATCTTCATTAAAAAGTTTATAAATAAAATAATTAAAATAATAAATTAAATATATTTTTTTCTTTTTTCGTGATTTCCTGCGAAACAAAGCAAAAAGGAGCATATGTCTATAGGACTTTTTTTCTTAGTTTTTTACTCCTCTACACGCTCCCGAAGTTTTGCCATTTAATTTGGAAACACCCTGTATACTAAAAAGGAATCAGACCTTAGTCACATCATTAGTAGATAAGTAATTAATAAACCAATTGATTAATTATTTATTCGTAAGAAAGTTGATGCTATAATTGTAAAACTGCTTTATGTTGAGGTACAAAGCAGGTAATTACTCGTCATGTGCGGCTACTTATATTCGAAATCTATAATAAACATATATTCGAATATCCATGTTAACATCATTATTATTACTAACATTTCATATAATATGGTTCAAACTTTGTCAAGGGATCTAGATCCTTCTTTATTGTTATAATTAAGCCTAAATATAAACACAGTAATTAAGATATTGAAAAAATGTCACTGTAAAGAAAATAATAAGATTATTTATATTTTCTGCGTGTATTTATGTTAAATTTATATTTTATATATATTTGATTATTAAATCTAAATTAATATTCTTATTAATCATTATATTTCTTAGAAATAATGTCCAAGCTCAGCCGTCATTTAAATTTCATAATACTTGCGCAACTACTCATATGTGAAGATATTTATCAATCACTGATCATATCGATGTTATATAAGATATAGATGATAGCATATTTGAATTAATAAAACTTAATATACATTTGTTTAAATAATTTTATGTAATACTAAAATTAATAACGTATGAGTAAAGTATTGCTCTCAAATGTAAATAATCTGTATTCATTAATATTAAATGTTTAATTTTGTTATACTGATGATACATACCAGTCATACAGATTAATTATACATACATATTAATCCAGAAATATAAAACAAATTAATATTAATAACATTTACCTCTGTTGTAATTTTGAGAAGATTGCATATTTGTACTTTTATGATAAGAACTTGTATTCGCATTTTCTACGGATTGTATCATTCTATCCGTTTCAATATCTTTAAAATTTGATATAGGTTTGTCTGAAATATATTGTTCATTATGATTAATTATATCACTAAAGATATACGTTAAAGATATAACAAATATGAAAATTTATAATAAATTTGTATAGCTTTATACTTATAAATATAAAATATACATAATTTTGTTATATATGTATATTATAATTGAATATATAATTGTATATATAACAGAACATACTAAAAACTCAAAATATAAAATATTACTTAATAACATTTACCTCTGTTGACCTTCTTGAGTTTTAGCATTTTGTCAATTTGTTCTGTCTTTTAAAGATCAATTCTTTTAAGAGCTTAAATTCTAGGAATCTTTATGATCGTGAAAGTGTATTATTAAGTCAAATACATCAATTAATAATATATCCCTAACATAATGGCAAGAATTGCAGTTTACGTCATATGGCTCGGTGATTGTAAAATTTTCGGACAACGTATTTTCTGTAATGCTTATTTGCATCTTAGTTATTATTTCTTGTAAATGTCTATTTCTTAGATGCACCTTTAATTGTGGTATATACACATTATGAGTTGTATATTTGCATAATGCACATTGTGCGACATATAAATCTGCTTTTTTGAAATGTTTCCATATCGGGTTGTCGTCATTTTCCCATCTTAATTTTTCTTCTTTATCAAATATTTTATGTTTATGATATAAATGTATTATCCACATTATTCTTGGTTTATATTTATATATCTTGACACAATGTTTGCACTTTACTGTAGATTTGGGCAATGCACTAAAATGTTCCCATATCCAATTACGTGATTCATCTCCACCAACTGCCATTATATTCGCTCGGTACCACGATGTGTTACTAAATATTACATACCGATTATGCCAAGAAAACTGTTCGGTGAAACTGTTTAGAGAAGGATGATGAAAGGAGAAA